TTTAAGTACATACAAAATTTTACAAAACATCAGTTATCATTAATTCATATCAACTAATGAGCAAACAAGCACAATGTGCAAGCTTCTCCATGGTGATTATAATAATAATAATAATTAATAATAATAATAATAATAATAATAAAAATAATAATAATAATAATTAATAATAATAATAATAATAATAATAATAGTTAATAATGTATTTTATTTATGTTGTGCCTCTTACATTATTCCTCCCGAGTGCCCTTGTTGCAGGGCATTTCACACAGAAGAGTGTCTTCAAATGCAACATATTTCGTATCATATGCCATTTATAATCATCGGTGAAGAGAGAAATATAAGTATGTAAAGTTCCTGAATCATAGACACTTGTATACAAAATGACAGCGTGGGATTTCACGCCGACCTCCTGATAACAAAGAATAAAAGTGTGTTTCTTATCAGAGAGAGATGCCATAATAGTGTAACTCCTCCCTGCTCTTATCAAGTACATGTATCTCATCATTGCATTCAGTCGTAGTACACAGTACAAGGCTACTACCACGCTTTGTTTACAGTGAGGGTGGATAGTTTATGTTATTGACAGATAAAGTCCAGCATTTCTATGTAATTGTTCATATGTAAACACAACAACAATAAGCCTACATTTAGCAAATAATATTTTTGTTCTGTTCAGTGGAAATGCAGATTTTTTTTTTTTTTTTTCGAAACTGTTTACAAAATTACAATTCTCTTTTCAGTTTAGTTACATTTGACTAATATCCTGTATTGTCCCACTCAATTGTGGTCCCAATACGAAGATGGCTGTATTGACCAATTCTGAACTGGCCTCTACTAAATAGACATGTTTTGGGTTATTTCCCTTTTCTGTACAGTACAGGTACTTGCTTTAGGAAATATGAAACAATACAATAATAGTTTTTTATTTACATTGTTTATATAGGCAATGATGATATGATATAGGCAATGAATGATAAAACAGAACATTGAATCAGTTAAAATATATTATTATTAAACAGTCTTTGCATTTCCTAAAGGTGACCTAAATTACTGTAATCAAAAGGTTCTTCCTCAAAGAATTACATAAAAATTCCTATAAAACCTGTGTGTGACGTTCGTTTGTTGTTATCTGTATCAATTGCATTGTGTTTTCCAACTGATTATAACAACTTTCAATGTACCTCAAGTTTTCATTCACAGAGTAACTCCCTTGGGTCACTAGTCACATGAATTAGCTCACTCGGTGAAAGAAAGCTTGTTTTTGCTTTATAAGTTTATTAGTCTAAAAGTGTGTTGTTTTTTTTTTCATCTCCTTTTTTTTGTGTGTATATATTCATCTTGCAAACAACAAGATAAATACTAGCGAGTCCATTGCTACACGGTTTCAGATATTACAAGCAGATCTGAGAGATTTATTTACTGTTCCTGTGAAAGTTAACCATTTCTATCCTTGTGTTTTATGTTTAAGATTGCTCATGCTAAAACAATTACCTTCTGTTATACCTAGCAAGAAAAAAAAAATCTTACTATCCAGACAGCAGTATGTAAGTTTCACAGTCCCTGGTGGTCGAGCCGAAGTCCTTTCAATGAGAATACTGTATCTCAATCATTTGGGAGTACATTTTAGCCTGCATGCCTATCTTATTATTTCTTTTCCCTGTTTTTCATAGCTACCTAAAATGCTGTTGAAAAAAAATTATCTGGGTCCACTAAATATATTCTATGTTGTTTTCTTTTGTGTTCATCCAAAAATATTGTAATATTATATTATATTGTAAATGTTTTTAGCAATATTTTTACATCAACAAAAAAGAAAACATTGAATAAATTGTTTTTATCATGAATTTGGAGAAAAGTTTTTAAAAATATAATATATTGGTTATTGAGATGTTATATTGTTTTTTCCTGTCATTGTGTGTACTAGAATAAATATGAATTCAAGATAGTATGGAAATCTTTTCAGTAAACAAGTGCTTTATATAGTCAGCGTTCGATTTACCTAGTATTGCATTGCAAAATGCGACGCATTTTAAATTCTTCATTTCCACAACTGCATCACAATAAATTATTTGCCTAGAATTTATGGCTCAAATTCCGCAAGGCCTGGCTGTAAAAACTAAGAGGCTTGGTGCACAAAAAAGTCCCGAAAATTTTTTAAAAGTCAAGTAAGGACCGTACTAACGTGGTAAATTACTTTTAGTGTTGAAAAATAAAGATACATCACATGATTTGCTTATTGAAAAGTGTCATTCCTTTTCTTTAATAACCATTCACTATCACCGCATAAAAAAATACTATACACATTTTTTAAATTGCTACACAAAACAAAAAGTGCATAGCACTTTTTTCAACACACAAAAAATGCTGGAAATCAAACACTGTTTGTATATAAATGATTGATATACAAACTACTAACTAAAGCTTGGTTTCCATATGATCACTACATGCTATCGCCGACAGTTTTCATAATGCTGATTGGTCGGTCGAAACGGAGAGCTATTTCCGATTGCGTCGAAGACTTCTACACAGTTCAACGATTGCACTGAAAACACTATCGACAGTGTAGAGATTTTAAAGAAACCAGGCTTTAAGTACAGTACCACTATAAGTATATCTAACAAAGTATCATAAAAATATGACTTGAATTTTTATCTTACAGGCCACGAATAAGACAACTGGTATAACAGCTGCTGCCAAGGTGATAGATCTAAATAAAGAAGAAGACCTGGATGAGTTTATGGTGGAAATTGACATTTTGATGGCATGTAAACATGAAAATGTTGTCGATTTGATAGAAACCTATTTATATAATAATAAATTGTGGGTAAGTATAACAAAATTTTAATTTATTTTATTGACACTGTTATTGTTCTCAAAGAGCATTTCAAAACCCATTCCTGATATTAATGATGTAATTTAAAGATCAAAAGATCCGTTGAAAATAGAGTTTTTTCCATACTAAAACCCATAATGATATTTGGATCATACAGTAGTTACTATTATGGGATATTATATTTATTTAAAAATATATCATATTCTGAAGAAAGTTTACTATCGTGCTTAATGTAAATTGCATTTTCACTCTGATTTGGCGAATGGTCGTCGACAGATGCATCTCTGAATTCTTTGAGCTAAGGATGACGTGACACGATTCTGTTGGTTGTTGTCAATAGAAATGATTCTTTCGAAAGTCTTGTCATCAATGTCATTATTTTATAAGTCGTCGTCATCAATGTCATTATTTTATAATAATAATAATACGTGAAAAAATGTTTAGTGCCGGTATCCTCCATCCAAAGTGGCGCTGATGGCGCTTTGGGCATTAACAACCGTAGAAAACATCAATAAATAGGGATGTTTTCAGGTTATTCTTAAAACTGTTCAGACTAGAATAGCATTTAACTGTACAGTCCATAACCTTATGTTTTTTTAAATTTTTTTCTTAACTTTTAGATGTTGCTGGAGTTTTGCGGAGGAGGTGCCCTAGATGACATTATGCTAGAGCTGGAGAAAGGCCTAACAGAACCACAGATTAAAGCTATATGCAAAGAAGTTTTAGAAGCGCTGTCATTTTTGCATGATAATAAAGTTATACATCGTGATCTTAAGGCGGGAAATATACTACTCACTATTGATGGAAAGGTTAAATTAGGTCAGTATTATCGATTCTAGAAAGCAAAACAGAAACAATTATCCATGGTTGAATAATTTTTATTTTTTTTATCTATATTCCACTTATGTTGTGCTTTTAAAAAAAAATCTCCAGCTTGGGAAATCTGCTCTGGAATGGGAGCTTCACCTTCACCTATCACCTTGATCTACAACACCATACAAATGGTCAAATGGAAAATGGACTTTACCACTAAGCCCCGCCCCTTGGATATTGTTGCTAAGGTCCCATAAAAACACATGTATTTGTGGGACAACACGCGTGCTTGTTAGACACGCGCATATCCCAGGCCCTGTTCTGATTGGCCAGTTGTTAAATGTGATTGACACTATGGAAAGGGCAGTTGTACAGTTCACCAACAGGACAATTAAATAAGAAAATTTATCCCACCTTTTGATGACCAGTTTAGATTTTTTGTGGCTAAAGCTATATCAGTAGCATACATAATAACATTGCAACAAAGTGGTATTCATAGCCGTTGGTAATACAGTACAGTTTTGGGGGTTGACTGGGAAGGACGTCAGATGCCCTGACCACATGAAATGTAAAAATTATTTAAAAAAAAAAAGATTTTAGAAAAAGATTCAAACTAAATGGGAAAAAAAATTGCAAAAGAATTTAGGAAAATTATTCTTTCGTCATCTGGTAAATTAACATTAAAAGGTATATGATTTTTATTTGGAAGCTAATAACTTACATAAATAAAAGTAAGCAAATAAAATTGAAGAGAGGTTTCGCACGCGAACGAATACGTGTGCGCATACGTTTAGATATCCGTAACGGTTCATAGCCATTCTGTGTTTTTCGCAATCACAGCGCAATTCAAGCGTAGCCTAGGCCTAGGGCCTTAGCTTAGGCCAACTATTGTCTGTTCTCTTCTCTCATTATGCTTCTCAAAGTTTTATTACTATTGAAAATTGTAGCCGAAAAATACTTCCTTTGTTGCCCAGAAGTGTTGGTTATTTTGTGATAGGCCCTATTGTTTATGACACAAAAGAGCCTGCTTGTTAGGCCTACACAAAATCTCGACACTACCAAGGTCAAAGCACCGACGTTTTGATACCCAAAACTGAGACGCATCCTATCGTAATTTGCTGTCTTCAAATGTCACAAAAATGGCACGTACATATTCAAAGATACATTTATTTTTTACGCTTACGTAAAATGTAAAAAAATGAACGAAGATCCTACTAGAAATCAAAATTTCCCTACCCATTTTTCACTTACGTTTATATGCGTGTTGTCTACACGTTTAGCGGATAGCAGCCGGAATATGAAGTCAAAATGATGACATATCCGTCACACTAACTGTGCGCGTTCACATGCGAAACCTCCCTATTGGATATCATTTTTTGATAACTTAACAGTTTTTTACATAAATTCATTGATGACATTTCTGACTTTTTTTAATTAAAAAAAAATATTGTTTTGTAGTCAGAGTTTTATTTTTTATTCTTGTGTTTGTCCCTTCTCAGTTTAGTGTTTGATTGTATTTTTTTCTGATGTCTCGTTATATTTTACATTTTCTTATTAGTTTTATATCAATTTTATATTACTGCTGTTTATCATTATATATATTTTTAACTTGTAATTTACGTGAAATTTGGCCTCTGGCGCACGATAAGTGAAATGTTTTTAATAAAATTGAATTTGAATTGAAATGATTAAATTTCAGCTGATTTTGGAGTTTCTGCGAAGAATGATAAAACAAGGCAGAAAAGGGACACATTTATAGGTACACCATATTGGTAAGTATGCATTATAAATATTTATAACATGATGTAGTGCATATTTCACATTGTCATGCCCTACACCAAATTTTAAAACAAAGGTTGCATGGAAATGTGGTCAACTGAAGAATGCAGTGAGGACCCCGCCCACTGATGATGTTGAGTCAATGTTGATCTCACTCTGTGGCTGGCTGTAATCACACAAACTCAGCAAGTTTTGTTTGTAATACATACATTTGTACTTATTGCAATAAATTGCTAACTTGAGTACCATAAGATAAACATTATCTTCAAATACAAATTAGTATATGTAAGTAGAGGTCGTAACAATAATTATTAACTAGACTCTTGCAGTTGGGACTAGCCCACTGATTTGAACCACACCTACGGTTCTTAGCAAGATTGATCATGATTAATATATGTACATAATAATTACTATCGAGTTAACATAAAAAGAATGTAAAACTTTATCTTAAAATACAAAATAGAATACCATACTCGCACAAATAAGCACCCCGTTTGACTAAGCGCCCCTCTTGAATAGACGCCCCACCTAAAGTGAAAATTGTCTTAAGCGCCCTGTTTGAATAATAGCCCCTCGATTCCTAAAAAAATTCATTCGTACAGTACAGTTCTGCATCAATTCGCATCTATCGTCGCATTGTCAGTCCATCTATCCATCTGTTGGTCTATCATTCTCCATTAAGTTTAAAATAGTTTCAAGTTTTGATGCATCTTTAGAATTCTGTTCTTGTTTTATTGATACCCTTTTTGGATTTAGAACTACATTATTTAATATCTAAATTTAAATACTGTATGGCCATTTTCAGTCAACAAAAATAAACTGACCTCATCACTCATATCTAAGCAAGAAACCCTACAATGATCCTGCTAATCTGAATTTGCAGATGGCTAACATGCTTATCACCACCACCAACACCACTAATTTCATCTGTTGTGTAAATACCCCCAACATTCTTGTCATGAGCCATGCTCTGTTGACGATTACCTTTTCTTCACCGAAACCATTCATTTACCTTTGGTTAATAAAAAAGTGCCCCTTGAATTTTCCAATTTCCCATAAGCACCCTTTCAATTTTCATCTATTTCCATAAAAGCATCTGTTTTCATAAGGGCCCCTCAAATAGAGCCAAAATTATTTTAAGCCCCCGGGCGCTTATTCACGCGAGTATAGTACAGATAGAGATCGTAATTAGCTAGAATTTTTCCATTTGTTAAATGTTTTTAAACAATAGTATCTGTAGTGTTACAAACTCTGTTATGATTTATATTTATTATATAAACATTTCAAATTTATTATAAACAAGTTAAAAAAAGTTTTTGGAACCAACTTCTTACAATTGTACATATAATATAAGATAATATTGGATGTTAGCACATTGTCACTAGATTTTCTTTTCTTATCTACCAAAATAACATAAATATGACAAATTCCAAATTGGTGTTTCTCAGGGACAGTGCTGTTCTATGTCATGACAGCTAATAGAAATCTCATGATGCATAAAACCCCAAAATCACAATACCTGCATAATGAATGATAGTACATTGTATTTTGAATTCCTGTGGCCATATTTATTAGATCCTTGATTTCCAAAAGGGAGGAAAAGGGATGTTTTGTTTAGGGAATTACTTGAGATTTAATGGGGTAGCTCATTGTTATGTTTATGTCTTGCGCAATAGGAAGGGCACTGTTGACTTTTCCTAGAATTTACAAATGTAGCGTTTATATTTGAATATTACAGTACCACAGTAGTTGATGTTTTCCTGTGCTACACAACTGATTTTGCTACAGTACACTTTGTATGTTATGATAACCTTTAAAGTTTATAACAAACTAATAATAGTCCATGGCATGTGCAACAAAGTACTGGTACTGATTAACCCATGACCTCTGGATTTAAATTCCAGGCGGGAAAGTCACATGGGTAACAAAAATAATTTGCTCATCGCATCAACAATATGCATCAAAGACATGACACATTTTAACTTTCAAATGGGGAACTAAACAAAGTTATCTGGAAAGAAAAAAGTACTGTATACTGTAAAAATTCATTAAAAAGCAAACACCAAAATGACCATGCTGTCCAAATGTACCATTATATTCACAAATCTTTGGACTAGTGAACGCTTCACTGGCGATGAGATGTACTGAGGCAACAAACACCCAAATAAAAACTACCAGTATACTGATTTCATTACGGATTGAGCCCAAAATTGATGTGAATTTCAATAAAATAGTCTGAGTTTTTTAGGGGTTTGCAGTAGACATAGGTCCCAATTTGTCCCCACTGGTAATGTTTCTGACAAGATTATTGTCTACTATGTCATAAATGCTTATTACAGCCAGGTAAAGTCATGTTCCAAAGTACCATATGCTGGAAAGCCAATCAAATTATCAGCAACCAATCTACTTTGATATTCATTTGTATCTATAGACATAACCTAATTTTTTATCACTAAACCACACTCAGGAATTTATATCAGTCTTAAATTGTGCATAATGTTGCAGTAATAGATAATTATTTTGGTGGTAGGCTATGGTTTGTTGAATCAGGCACTTTAATCCTTGCCCGTGAGCTAGTGAGACTTTTTAGAGTGGAGCTGTAGCGCATCTCATTGGATTTTCATTTTTTAATTGGCATCTTAATGCTTAGATTATAAACTAGAATTGGATTGCGAGGGAAAGAAATGTTTCCTGCAATATTGTTAATTAGTAAGATTAAACTACTGTTGCTGCTAACACTACAGTATTATGGAAAGGACTTTAACCCATAGGAAAGGGGCGGAATAATTGTTGTCTTTGTTTACTGGTAGATAATAAATGAAAATGAGATACAGATACAACAGACAATCTGGAGGGAATCTTTCCCTCTTAATGGACAGCTAAGTCCCCATAGGCACACACATGTGTTTTTAGGAAAATGTGTATTTGTAGATATTCCTGGCCATATTCCGATCGGTCATTTGATAAGTTTGATTGACACCCCGGAAAGGTCCCTTGCCACCTGTTATCCCCTCATTTTGTTTTGGGATCTATTTAATTATGCAATTCTGTATCACAGATTCATTATTAAAGCAAATACAATCAAACCTCTCCTTCTAGAAATGCCTATTTAGGTGACAATTTTTGATTGTTTTAAACGCTTAGGCCAACCCCTATTTAGAGAACACCCTTATCAAGAGGATTCTTTTTTGACCTCACATTTGTCCTCAAGTGAAGTACTTTAGAATGATGATTGATGATCAGTAGAAATAGCTAATGCTTCAGTGACTAGTTACAACATTTTTTAAAACACAAGCTTTAATGTACAGTGCACTCAATAACCAAGATAGGGGTGGGGTGGTTCCTATGGGGGCCAGATGTCCAGATAGCGCCATGGCAGTGGACACTTAGGTGCGATAGTGCCCTCAAAGTTAATTTTCATTGGGACAGTGCACCTCTCAAAAGTTTGTATACTCAGATGTCTGCTTTCTACTAAAATATACAGAGCAAAACATGTACTCTAGTAGTTAAATATCTCATTTTTCTGGCTAGTAGCCTTCCCCTCCTCCTCCCCACACTTGTCTGCACTTTATTGAAATTGTAATTCACCTAATTTTCTATGTATTCTCTGTTTTTTAGGATGGCGCCAGAGGTGATAATGTGCGAGACATTCAAAGACAACCCATACGATTATAAGTCTGACATCTGGTCTTTAGGCATCACTCTGATTGAGCTTGCTCAAATGGAACCGCCATTCCACGATCTTCATCCAATGAGAGTTCTGGTCAAAATTCCTAGGGCTGATCCACCAATTCTAATTGCACCCTCTAGATGGTAAGTAAACTAGGGGACAGAAAGATTTCAAAGCATTTATTTCTGTTGTATTTCTACTAATCCAACAGCACGTTGGTTGGGTTTGCATGCTGTGGGGCTTACCAAGGATAGTCCATGAAAGTTTGAAGACAGGGATCCTGCTGGCAAGGACAGAGGCTAAATTAATTTCCCTTCTTTATAATAAAAGATGCTCTGAATTTGCTAAAGTACTCACAAGCCAGTTGTGTACATTGGGTATTTGAGAAGAAGAGTCCAGAATCTGAGCATATATATACTGTAGTGGGATTTGATCCTACACCGAAAATAAATTTCAAGACTGCAATTTGCACTGCTCCTGCCGTTTGCACTTGACCAGTCAATCCAGGTTAAGGCAGTAGAGAACCCTTAGCACTAGAAAATCTATTGCTCATAGAATTGCTCATCATACAGTACAAACAGATACAAATTATTTTGTATGTTTATTTTTTTATTTTATTTTTTTTTTATTTATAAAGCACTATTTCAATATTATTTCACATCAATGTCACTTTAAAACATTTCAATATAGACAAAGAAGTCCTATCAGGAAATATTAGAAGAATGACAACTGGAAAGAACATGAAGGTGGTTTTCTTTTAAGAGACAAAATAATTTAGCTCAGGTTCATCAAGGGATCTTAACAAGTCAAAATGTTACTACTCTCATTCTTAGTTAAATTAAAGTTAATATATTTTAAGGTTTTTAAGTGAAAAGACATCAATCAACAAAAACATTCACCATTATTACATGGTTCAACGAAAAGCAATTCACTTTCAAAATCACCATCTGTTGTTAATCTTGCATGTTGGTGTCTGGACATCAACTTATTATATGACCCAATTTTTATGTATAAACTTGTAATTTTTTATGACATAATCAAATCAATAATCAAGTTTTTCTGAGCAAATTTCTTATTGACCAGTAAACCATACACAAGAGAACAATGTAGTGTTCCTTCTTTAATCAAAGATAGGCAACAGAGCAACTTGCATGTAATATAATGACAGAGCTACTGTATAGCAAATCTAGCACTACTGTTGGTATCAGTATTTGCTGCGAAGCAGCCAATTCATATTCTTGACAGCAATTTGACCTCTGAAAGGTCATTGTTTGTCAAAAAATGAGTGCTTTAGACGACTGAAAAGCGGAGTTTCCTTCTTTCGTTCTGCCGGGTAAAATCAATTACT